TATGAAATTTATGAATTATCCTACTTTTTAAATATGACCCATAGGCCATAGTTTATTAAAAAAACTCGATTGGTTGCTTTCAAAGTCAACATACTTATATGATAACTATGATGTTATACTAAACTTTTTATTTCAGCGCTGCGTAATAATAAGAAAAAGTAAGGTTATAATTAATTTTATGGTTATATTGACTGAAGTTACTGTAGATGATCATTTTAACTATTTTTTCATATATATTTTTTTATTTTATTAATAAAATATATTTTAAATATAACCTTTTCATAAATCACGAAAACTGGCCAATACAGTCACTTCAACCAGATCTTCATAAATTTCAGCAGAATCAGCCGATTCAGTCAATTTCAGTGTTACCAAACGGGCTCCAAGTATATTTCTCTGAGTACTTCTTCTTTTTTCAATTAAGTTATTGAGATAGAGTGTTTTTTTGTTCTTTTTTTAAAGTATTTTCTAAAAGTAAAATTAAATTAAAAATAATGTGTACCTGTGCAATGCACGGTAAGAATTGTCGTGGTTAAATTTATCTCATCATGAAAATAAAAATGAAAAGTAAAATTCAAAGCAAAAGAAAGGGAAAATGCATAAGCGTCCTAGTTTCATGTTACATGTTTTAGTTTGTGTTATACCATGATCTACGTTAGAGGGGCTTTCTTGAACAGGTTAAACCAATATTTATTTTTCAGTCGTTTTAGTCCTCTTTTACTCAAATTGCTATAATTCATGCATTAAGTAACTTTATAAAATTTTAATTGCGTTGATTAATGAGTATTCAATTGATTTTAGTATACGCATTTAGATTGCGAATACTTTTAGTTTTCTATGTTGATGTGTGCCTTAATTTTTATTTGAATCCGGAGCTTTCAAATTCATTAGACGATTCAGCCACATTATGTTATGTAAATTTTATTGAATTGAAAACAAAATACGAATATATAATAAAAAAATTATGACATAAAATAATAGTTTAAAAAGCTTTAGTTAATTGTTGTAACTTGTACACTTAAGGTTTTTAAATTATTTATCCATTTTGATATTTTTTCTATTGTTTCTATTTCCATTTCTGTGTATTTTAAATTCAATTAATTTCTTATAAAATTTATGACATATCCTATATTTTAAATATGACCCATAGTTGGTTAAAATAACTCGATTGTGCTTTCAAAGTCAACATACTTATATGATAAGTATGATGTTATAGATGTATTATTTTTAATATTTCATAACTAAATGTCACATAAGGGTGTTAATTATTTCCTAAAATATCAAGGTGCACCTTTTATTGAGAATTTTAAGCTGGGATGGAAGGAGTTTGATATTATTTTTCATTTAATAGTTGAAAAGGATGTAAAGAAAATGAATTAATGACTGTGGACCTAAAAAAATGATGGTGGACCTTGTGGCTATCTATTTAGAAATGGTTAGAAGTTGAGTAGGGTTTGTATATGTGAATTTTGGGAAGTTGAATAGATTTCTACCCTTTCAAATGCTTATAAATGTTATACATACAAATAATACATGCAATGATGCAATGTACGTGTATTATTGTGTTGTTCTAGACTTTAGATAAATAAATGCTAATATGAATAGAGAGAAGTGTTGACACATGGCAAATTTTCCAACAAAGAGTGTTGCCACATGTCAATAATATCTTCAAAGACCTCTCTAAGGTTTGATTTATTATATTATATAGATTCCATAGACCTGGCTAAACTGGCAGACATAAATCGTGACTCCAACTGTTCCCAAATCCCAAACAAGTGTTTTAAATCATGAACATCAAATAAGAACATCACGTGATAATAAAGTGGCGAACAACCAAGAACGGATAGTTTGATCAATGCGCAACCACAATGAATAGTCGGGATTGAGAATTTGACGATTGGAAAGGTCTATGGAATAAACAGAGGGTACCAGTATGGAGCCATCAACCATACCCAGAAGATTTTGAGACACCAAGAAAGATTCAAATTGATTACGCCACGTTGTATAGTCCTCAACAGCCTGTAACATTGTGGTCACAATGTTGGTGACATTGGTGGCCACATGTAGGGTGGGCAAAAATCCCGGTCCCTGTGTCCCAAACCGAAAAATCCCGATATCGTTCCGAAACTATCCCGATCCATTTAGGACGCAATTTTTTCATCCCGAACTGGTCCCGCACCGAAATTAATCGGGACGGGACCGGGATAGCTATAAAATATCATGTCCTGTCCCGTACCGTATCGGACCGTTGTTATAAAACCGGGACGAGATCGGGATAAGCCAAATCCTGGACCATCCCGGACCGTGCCCACCCCTAGCCACATGAGACAAGGTGTTAGCCAAATCTCCCAGGGAAACTTCAGAATGATGTGTTGAGCCAGGCCGTGAGGCAGTCACCGAAGAAGACACGCCCAGTGACCCCACAAGGGTGGGTCCCGCGAACGAAGCAGCAATTGGAGTTGTTATTAATGGTGGGATGGAGAGCAGGGGCGGTGGTTCCAGAGAGAGTGTTGAAAATGGAGTCGGTGCTGACCAGGTGAAGACCGGCGGCATGTTGGGGAAGAAGCTGGAGGTAGGCGTACTCCGCAGTGGTGAAGCAAAAGACGAAGCAGCAACAGAGGCGGTGCCAGACATGAGAACTGGAGGCTGCGAACTAGTGAGAGTAGGTGCGCCAATTGTAGAGAGAGGGGAGGAGGAACTGATGCCGGCGCTAGCTGACACCGTGGTGGTCGGCATGGTGGTGGAAGACATTGTTGCGGCAGTAACCATGGCTGGAAGCCTGGTGTGGCGATCAAGAACGAACGATTGGAAAAAACAATTTAGGGTTAAGCCTAAGCTCTTGATACCATGTGAGAGAATGAAACCGATTACTCTCTAAGGAGTCCGGACAGATATATTTATAATCGAATAATATTGTTTAAAATACATGACCGTAATCTATTACATAAAGAGTGTTGTTTCTCAACTTCCAAAGATTCCAAAGAAGGACAATATATGTTATAAAGGATTTATGGTGAGTCCAATTAAAAATGGTGTCCTTTAGGTTTCCATCCAACCGATGACTCGGGACCTTAAAATAACTTCAAATTGGAGTGTGAGACGGATATCGCAAGAAGAAATGGTCAATTGAGTCATGGTGGTTGCAATGTGAACATTTAAAAGGCCCATGAAAGCCCATTCTTTGAAGGGAGTCAGCACACACAATAAGATTATTAGTAATCCGCCAAAGAAGGAAGGATATCTTTATAGGAATCGGGTTCTTCCATGAAAGGTGGAGATTTTCAATTGTGGGCTGCTTCTTCTCTATCTCATCATAGTCTGTCCTACAAGTGAAAACACCAGTTTTGGTGCGAGCCCAATGAATATTGTCCGGTGTCTCAACAAAGGATGGACATGTGTTAGTTAGTAAGGGCCATGCTAATGTTGTGAGGGAGATCCCGACATAGCTTTGAATATTCTCATAGGCCTCTCTAATAGAGATGAGGTCATGAGGCTCGAGGGACAGTCTATAAAGAGGCCCAAAGGGACTCTGATAGTATATAATTGTTATTATTTATGTTTGTAATTTTAACTAGTTTTAGTTGTTGTTGTTTGGGGAATTACACACTTTTGGTGTAATACTTTATTTTTCCCATTTGTTTGTAATTTGTTTAGATTAGGATTATTCTGAGCTTAAAACAGGTCAAGACCATCCAAAGGATAATGATTGGACCGTAAAACATCAAGGAAAGTTTGAAGGGACAAGACAAAAAAAAGATTGAAAAAATAGTTCATATACCCGTTCGGGTATAGGTAATACCCGATTGGGTATTGAGTTGATTCGGGTGTCAAAATCAGAATCTGGAGGGATAAAAAAACTTGCAGGATTTTGAAAATTTAACTCATACCTGACCGGGTATGTCCGGATCGGAAGAGTGACTTTCCGGGAAACTGCCTCAAATACCCGATCAGGTATCCTATATACCCGGTCGGGTACCAAGCCCCATCACCTCCAAACACCTATAAATAAACCCTTTTTCCTTCCCAATAAAATCACCAATTCTCACATACTTCTAAGCTCAGTTTAGACAAGTATTTCTTTTATATTATCTAGTATGTTTAGTCTCTAAATGAGGAGATAAACACTTTCCATCTTGGTTTTGCTACATTGAAGCTTATTGATTTGTATGTTGTGAGTTATTTTGTTTGATCATATTCCTTGAATATTAATTACATTTATATTTTCTATCCTATAATAATATTTGAGCATTACTTAAAGGATCAACTAGTTTTGTTTCATATATCAATTATTACTAGAATCAATCGACGAATATGCTTGTTATTCGCTCGGTTCTTTCACAGTAGTAAACTTAGTTGTTAATGCATGCGTCTCATGGTTAATAATCTATGATGAATTAATTATATTGATAAAACCAATACGCTGTTTGTGTTGAGGTTATCAATCTCAATCGATTTCATCTTAAGTTTTATTGCTATATCAGGTCAATATACGGCGCATGTTCTTTATTGACTTTATAGTAAGTTTATTAATGAACGCGTCTCGATATTAATAACTACCCTCGATGAATTAGAGATACTCCACGATTGAGTATTCTAGCGGAAGATGGTTAAAGATATAACCGAGATCAACGAACATTTCATTAAGTGGAAATAAGCAAAACCAAGTCTCAAGCTCTATTTTATTAAACCACATAAATCGATCATATTAGTGTTAAATTAATTAAATCAAATCAATCTTAAAAATTTCCTTGTTACAATTTAAATAAAAGAAAGATATTCCTTTCCGTGTGGATACGACCCTTACTTCATTATACTATGTATAAGTGTTGTATTGAATATTATTTTGAGGCACACAACGACTATAGTGCCGTCAAATTTGGTGCCATTTCCGGGGAAAGGCAATAAATTTAATTTTATTTTATTTCAAGAAAAATCAAAACAAATTAATTAATAAAAATATAAAAAGTTCTTACATTTTTATTTTTTTGAGCTTTGTTGAGCTTATGGTAAAAACCCGTTCTATAAACCTACTCACATATCAAATAAACCCCAAAATAGAACAAGCTTTCGAGAGGTTGTAAAATTTATTTCCACATACACCCTCAAGTGTGGATCCAAAGAGTCTATTCACATGGCTCTCGAAACAAGAACCTTGAGGGAGATCACAACTCCAAACCTCAATCAACAACCTTTGTGCATCACCTTCCCTACTTTAATTGAGGGTGTTACGTTTGAATTGAAATTGGACCTCATTCATCTACTTCCTTCCTTCAATGGTCTACTAGGCGAAGACCCGATCAAACACCTTTCGGAGTTTCATATAGTTTGTACTAGTATGAAACCGAATAATGTTACTGAAGAACAGATCAAGCTAAGAGCCTTTCCATTCTCACTGTAGGACACAACTAAGGATTGACTATTCTATCTCCCTTCGGGAATTATAGATACATGGGTGGCAATCAAGAAGTGCTTCCTTGAAAGGTAATATCCCGCCTTCGTCTCATCATCTTTGAAAAAACAAATAAGCAAGTTAATTAAGCCGGAAGATCTACCCCGGCGGTGATGCAGTGACAATTACATGATTGGCTAGTGACTGCCAGTGGTGACTCAATGGCAGTTACTCGGACCGACAGTGACCATCATCGTCCAGTGACCATCACCCACCGTCAGTTACCACCACTCGATGCTAGTGGTACTGCTCCTTCCCTTGCCTCACCCCAGCCCCTCCCATACCTCACCCAGCCCCCTCATATATGCCTCACCCCAGCCCCATGTTCGACCCCCTCTTTACCTCACCCCAACCCTGACCCCTCTCCCTACCTCACCCAATCCCCTGCCCGATCTCCCTCCCCTATCTCACCTCAGTCTAGCCCTCCCCCGCCACTATTAGCACCCCACCTCATCGCCGCAATTTGCGCTCCTCTCGCCTGTCGACGGCTAACCAGCATCACCACAGGCTAACCAGGTTACCAGTACCCAATCCAAACCGGCCCTAGCAAGAAACCCTAGCCATCCGATCTGATCTATAATTTAGTCGCCACAACTAAGCCCAAGACGTCGTAAACGAAACTGTAGCACTACCGGTCTCCCGTCAGCCTCTGTATGATCGAACTGAAACAGAAGAAAAAGAAAATCGGCACGGGGTAGGGCGAAAATCGGCAATGCAAATGTCAAGAGTAGCGTTGAAAGACGCTGTCACACGAGAGAGAGCGGCGTGACATTGTCTGGAGGCGATGATGGAATTGTAGTGGCGGTGTGCGTCGTGGCGGTGCGATGTCGGTTTGAGGTGAGGAGAAAGCCATAAGATTCTTTGATGAGAAAGAAGTGATGTAAAGCCCCTTTGACAAGAAAGAAGAAATGCAACTTACGGCTTTGGTTGGTATAGTAGTTATATGGAGGGCATTTTATATCTTTTCGGTGTTATTTGGTCTCTTTTCTGTCTACCAGAAAATTTAGTTCTATTATTGTTATTATTGTTATCATTTTATCAATTTAATATTTCATATCTCAAAGTAAACTTCATTCTTTCCTTTTCCATTTGTCCTAATATAAACAGTTTTTTCATTATTTGGTAAAGAATTTGTGATTCACAAAATTTATATCCATTTTCTCTCTTCTCTAGGCATTCTTTTAATCTGGCTAAACAATTCATACTTTTTTAGTTTTGTTTAAAGTGAAAACAATAGTTTATTATGGGACGGCGGACGGGGAAGTATAGCACAGTACATAAGTTTGGCGATATTCCTAAAGTTATGTATCCAATAGTGCACAGCTTTGCCATATTCCTTAATTTACGTATCCAATAGTGCACAACTTTGCCATATTCGAAAACTTTTGTAGAGCGTAGTACACAACTTTGCCGATATTCCATTTGGGTTATCTACCTATTCCCACATTCAATTCCGTTGTTTTTAGAGCATCCTCAATGCAGCTCTGTCAAGTCCAAATAAATTCTGCCACGTCATAAAATTAGGGCTGGACTCGGGCCGGTTCGGGCCCGGTTCGGGCCCGGGCCCGGCCGGGCCTCGGGCCAGGAAAGGGGAGGCCCGAGCCCGAACCGCCGGTGGCCGGTTCCGGGCAAACCGGGCCGGGCCGGGCCGAACTGGCCCAATTAATTTTTTTTTTTGTTCTCCTATTTAATCCCCTACCCCTCCCCCTCAACTCCAAACCATCCCAAACCACCTCAAATGGCCCAAAATACCTAATCCAACCTAAAACTTAAAAAAATTTCAAAAAAAAAAAAAAAAATTAAAATCCGGCCCGGACCGGGCCCGAACCGGCCGGGCCGGTTCACCAAAACCTGGGCCCGAGCCCGAACCGCCCAGCAGCCGGGCCGGGCCGAACCGAACCGGTGGACCCACCGGGCCCCGGGCCGGGCCGGGCCAAACAATAACCGGGCCGGGCCGGTTCCGGGCCGGGCCGCCCGGCCTGAGTCCAGCACTACATAAAATTAAACATGGACTAGTTATTTTATTCTCCAACGCATGTAGTCCGTTAGTGATGTTTGCTGATATGGCAAATGAAAAACCGAACGGTGTGAAGGGGGGCGTCTGGGTGTAGAAAGGCCCATGAACTTGCTGAGTCAGCCAAAAAAGTCGCCTCTCTCCCGAAAATAGCAGCGGCAAACGGAATTTGCAAAAAGCATCCCACCAGTCACCAGATTCCAGATACCCACAAATTTCTACTTCTGTTTCATGTCCATATCACTACAAAAGAAAGAAGATATTCTCAATCAATATTTAAAACTTAAACAAATACAAATCCATTGAAAAGTTTCAGTATACTAGCATTGAACTGATGGTATAGACTTTCAGTTAAAATAATTTTAAAACAAAATAATTTTTAAAACAAATAATTTTACAACCGATGGTATATACAAGTATATAATTCGGAGTTGATTTAAAATAATTGAACATATATGAAAATTAAGATTTCTCTTCGATCATAATCGCAAAAAGAAACAAAACACCTGTAGAATGAGTTGTCCGGAAAATTGAGGAAGGAAGCAACTCTCTCTAGAACTATTTTACGATAAAAAAACGACTCGTATTATATAGGGCAACGGTTGATTAAAAATGATTTTTTAAGAAAATATATTGCACACGGAGACTTAATTTGGGTTTAAGACTTTATGCATTGGAGGCTCTGTGGTAATGTTAATATCTAATCACTCCACTATCTATCATGTGGATTAGAAAGCCTTTTAATAATTTGACATGTGGCATAATTTATTTAGACTAGGAAAGGCTGCATTGGGATGCTCTTAGAAACCAGAAAATACATTATTTCGTGGACATTCCATAATGCTATACTATACACCCGCACTGCCACAAGTGACAAGCCCATGCTGCGTTGTCAATGTGTAATGTTAACAACTATTCTTGAGGTCCGAGGGTGTGGCGGCGGTGGAAAAGTGTCACAAGAGATTTCCGAGTTCAATTTTAGAGAAAAATCTAAGTTGAAATTATTTTTCTCTACCAAATTTTAATTTACATCCTCTTATGTAAAAGTTCGATCCGTCTTAAGCAACCGTCACGATTCAGGAATTGGATGTTATTCTTTGAGGTAATTTTCCATAATTTCATTGGTTGCTTACATTAACATTAAAAGAAAGCGTGCTTAGAGGATCTCCGATGCTACAATGTCCACAATGCACATGTGACATAATAGATTGCCACATAAATATTACTTCCTCCGTCCCGTTAAGATTGTCTCATTTTACCTTTTCGGGAAGTCTCACTAAGATTGTCTCGTACCAAATTTAGTAAAGTTTGTGTGGCTCTAAATCATTCTTACTTTATTCTTTGTCAATTTAATATCAACCACACAAACTCACTTTTTTAAATAACCGTGTCACCTTCTCATGTCTCAATCTTAGTGGGACGGAGGTAGTATTAGTAAATAAATTATTTCTCTCCTTATTTGAATGATTTTATACAATTTTGGTAAAAAAAATTCCTCACAATGTCAAGAAAATCGCCTAGATGTAGTCTGTATTATTTTTAGGTGTAAGTAAATAACACAACATCGTTACGAATTTATTAAACCATCATAATTAATGTGACACTGTGTATTTTCGTGTGGATTTATAAGTACGTGTTTAGTCCCATTTTGAACTTATGCATTTCAAAAGTATGCATTTCATCCCCTACTCATATGAATTAAATATGTTTTTATCGATAAAAAAGAGATAAAGTATTACGTTTCCAATGCTCTTGGGTTCAAGAGGCTGTGTTATGCTAGAATAATGACTTGCAATAAAACAGTGACTAGAAAAGTGAATTCCCAATATTTGATACATCAAAAGTTTTATTATCTGATTAGAAATCATTCCAGTTAAATTGGAAACGTCAATTGATTTGAAATCATTCCAGTTAAATTGGAAATGTCAATTGCTAAACTCATATTACGTATTTCTTAGTAATAAAACAATTACTAGAGAAGTAAATGAAAGTTGCTATATATTACGTGTATAATTCAAGTTGCATTTTACTTTCTAGACAATTGCAGCAATATTGGTTGTACTATGTGGGGTTGAACTTGGATAATATTATTTTCATCTACAAATTTTCATATAACTTTACTTGACCTTTAGTTTTACTAAGATACTGATTGCTCTTTTTCCTTACACCTCTTGCAGCTTCCATAGATGAAATTTGTCATTGGAACCAAAAAAACTTGTTGGAGTTATGTTAGATATTATGTTCCTATAATCTCCTTTTGTTGTTTTAGAGTTCACATTTGTGTTGGATTCTTTTCTAATGCCTTCATATTCAAAAAGTTTGAATGCAAAAGTCCCTAGATCCGTGACTCCGTGAGGATGGGTCACCAAAACTGTAAATGTTTGATCACATTAATACATGTTGATTTTTAGTTCTTTACTCTCATACTTAACACGAAGTTTTCAGAACAATACAATTCACTGGGGAAACTGGACAGTCTCATCGGCAATTTCATAATTTGGGTGCCTCATGCAACGCACGGGTGAAAGACTAGTTTAAGATGTAAATCACATGTAATTAATTGATAGTTCTAGATAAATACTACAAATAATCCGTCAGGGAAAAAGCTTAGTAATTGTAGGACTCTTCTCCATAACATTTAATTAGTTGACAATTCTAGATAAGTACTACAAATACCTTCTAGATGATTTTATAACAATATTATGAATATTATGGGACCCCACCGTACGTGGGATCCTTTGCGGCACTGGGGTAAATGAAAATGATATATTATGAATATTATGGGGCTCGATTAAACAACGTGAGAAGTCTAATACTACGTATTTAGTAAGAATATAAATTAATATATGTCAAATATTTTGTGGTTCAATGATATTACTGTAACACTCCCAAGGAGGAGGTCACAAGTTTGAAACTCATCTCAGTCAAGGACTTGGCATTTAAGACGTTTTTACTTGGACTGACCTGGTCTGGTCTGGTCTGATTTCTTTGTATTTTTATAATTACCCAAGTCTGGTCTGGTCCACTTTCTTTATATTTTTTATAACTACCCAAGTTTGGTCTAGTCTGGTCTGGTATGTTCTGGTCTGGGTCAAATTACAGTCCAAGTTAAAACATCCTTAACATTCAAGTATTGAAGTCCAGTCACAAAAAAATTGTTTTAAACGATGTTTCAGTCAATTAGATGAAAAATAGCTTAAATAGTCCTTTTCGAAAGTTCCAGCTAATTAAGTAATAAAAATATATAACTTTAACCCTACCTATTTTGATTATTACGCAATTTAGTATGCAAAATAAAAAGTTACAAAATAGGCTCTAGATTTATTTGATAAAAATATAACTAATAATACTAAAAGCTGTAAAAGAGGAGCTACAAAATGAGCTCTAGATATATTACACATATTATGATGCACTTTTGCCATTTAGTCATTTTTTGCATCTTAAATATTGTAATTTGGCTACAAAGTACAGAGCAGAATCATAATCAGTTAAATTAATATAACCAAACATAACATAGTAGAAAATGTATATTTATTAAAGAGTGTTTGCAATAACTTTAAAAAGTGTTTTTCAGTTTTTTTCTTTAAAAAATTACAATTGAAATGAGTGTTTTCAGGTGATAATTTCTGTCAAAATTAAGCAACTACAAGTTAAAAGTTGGATGCCTGTTGGGAGGTGCTTTAAACCGTCTTTTCATTTTTTTTTTTCAGAAATATTTTTACCAAAGATTACTAAACTTTTACTCTTCAAAAACACTTTTTTTCTTACACATAGCTACCAAAGTTTACTTTTAAAAAAATCTCACACACT